ATCAGTATTTTGGAGGGGAAGATGGTAAAGAAAGAAATAGAGAGAAGGAAGGATTACAGGAAAGGATGGAGAGAAGAAGTTTTATAGCGAGAACTTACGGTAGATTGAGGTTGTCATTTTTTATAAAATAAATAAATAAATAAAAATAGTGTAGGATGATCCCCCGTCAGGAAAACAAACAGATCCTGGTTAGTTTGTGAATTGTGCAATTAATTCTTGCCAGTATAGATACTACAGTCTGCTCTTGAAGATTAAGTCTGCAAGAACAGTTTCCAGTGGGGTATGAAGCCAAGTGGACAGTGAATATTGTTCTCCTATGAATTCCTGTCTTTGAGTACATTAAGCACAGCCACCTTGATTGTTATCCTCTGTGTGTTGCTGAGATTCTGAGGTCTTAGAAGGCCAGGAGAGAGGTTCTGAGGTGGGTGGGAGTGGCAGAGAAGGGGGCAAGGTGCTGCCTGCAGAGAAAGCATAGTGAACTCCTCAGCAAGGCCTTCCCTGCTCTGTGGGACGTCTACTTACTGTTCACTGTCGCTTCTCCCTGCTTCCTCCGTGTGCAAAGCAATGGCATTTTCCTTTGATTTGTTTTTTTCACAAAGGTCACATCCTTGAGCCTGCTTCCACCACCCCTGGCCAGAGGAAGCTCTCCCTACAGATGATGAGCTCTGATGAGCCTGTGACGGGAGGTCCTGTGATTCCACGAGGCTGACGCTCAGCTCTTTCCACGTTGAACAGAAGTCCTGTCACCTAGAACCTCATTCACCTTTCAGCCTTCACCCGGTGAGTCAACTCTTTCTAGTCTTGGTGTATAATGGTACAGGTCGTGAGATGAGCTTGCTAAATTGTCTTCATTTCTTTCCCGTTCCTTGTAGCAAACAGCCCTATACGTCACTTGAGTTACAGATATAGCAATAGGTGATGATTTGAGGAACTTTGTTTTACCCAGTCCATTAGTTCAAAAGAACTTAACAGCTCATCAAATTTTGAAATTTACTTTTTGAAATACAGCATCCATGAGATCTGATACTAGTCCGTATTTGAAGAGATGAACTCTTTCTTGACTACTGACTTTAAAATTTTAAAATCTCCTGATTATACATTAAGCAGGAAACAACATACCATTTTTCATTCTGACTTTGTGCATACATGTTGTTCTGTATTCCGTCAGTCTACTCTAACTCAAAAGGGAGGTAGATAAAACCACGACTAAGGGTTACATCTGGAACTGCACTATATTCCAAGTTCTCCCACTCACCTCCTAGCCTTCCAGGAACCGTAACCTGCTTGAGTTTTGTTTGGTTGTTCTTAAATAACACTATATAAGTCATCCATGTCACAAAAAAATGAGAATAAAAGAGAAATATTTCAAATTTCAATTGTTTAAATTCTTTGCACATTTTCCCAGTATTCTGATCAAATTTGAAGTATTCTATTTTAATACAAATAATCAGGAGTGAAAGTCTTCAGTATTTTTATACTCTCATCTACTTTGGAAGAAACGGGCTGGACTTGGCATAATAAAATTTTAAAATTAAGGAAATAAAAATTCTGATGTTTTCTCATTTATATTCACTCATTTGTTTGTTAGCTAATGAATTTGTATTAATTGCCAAGGATACAAAAATTATCAAGCCTATTCTACATCTATAAAAGAAATCAACTTTGAAAGACATAGATAGGAAACTGAGCTACAGGAGTCAATGTTCTCTGACCTGTCCACCCGTCCATCCGGTCAGCTTTTAGAAGCACGCGTGCTTTCCACTGTGATTCTTCTACTCTTTCTACTTTCATCTGGGGATTGAAGACAGAAACAAAGGAGAATCCGGGAAAAGGGTTTTACAAGTGGGTGGATCAGGATGCATCTTTCACAGGCAAATACTCTTCCATATTTCACAGGTTTAGAAAAAATAAGTATAGAAAGTCTATTGGATGCGGGTTTCATAACTGCTATTGTTATTAGGTGACCCTATAAACAGCCAACCTGAACTCTGTCCTGTGCCATCCTCACCACCTCTGAGACACTAGAGCCCATTGCTGAAGTCACTGTGTCAATCCATCTCATTGGGGGTCTTCCTCTCCTTCACCGATCCTCCATCTTTCCAAGCATGCTGCCCCTTTCCAAGAAATAGTCTCATTAAGCCACATGTCCACATTAAGAAAGACAACATTTTGTCATTCTTGCCCCCAAGGAGCAGTCTGGTAGTGCCTTTTCTAGCATTTACTAGTTTGTTCTTTCGACAGTCCATGAGATATTCCGTATTCTTCTGCAGCACCACAACTCAAAGGCATCAATTCTTCTTCTATTATCCTTATTCACTGGCCAGCTCTCTGACGCATAGCAGATGATTGAGAAGACTGTGGGCATCCTTATTCACTGGCCAGCTCTCTGACGCATAGCAGATGATTGAGAAGACTGTGGCCTGAATCAGGTGCACCTTAGTTTTCAAACTGATATCTCTGCTCTGTAGTATTTTGGAGGTCCCTGACAGCCAACTTGCCCAATGCAATAGGTCTCTTGATTTCCTGGCTGCTGTTACCAAGGGTGTTGATTGTGGATCCAAGTAGGATGAAATCTTTGATAGCTTCAGCCTTTTCTCCATCTGTCACAAGGTTAACTGTTGTGTCTATGGTGAGGATCTTTGTCTGCTTGATGGTGAGATGTAATCCATACTGAAGGTTATAGTACTTGATCGTCTGCAATAGCATAGAATAGCCTTTTCACTTTCAGCAAGAAAAGTTGTCATCAGCGTAATGCAAGTTCGTGCTGTGTCTTCCTCTATTCCTGATGCCACGCTCTTCTTCACAGAATCCAGCTTTGTGAAATATTTGCTCAGAATACCTGGAATTGGCTGTGTTGAAAGAAGTTCACATGTATTTATAGACTGCATTTCATCCAGATGACTTGGCAATCCAGACACCATATCTGTATGGTTAGCCAAGGGTCTTGATGTCGTTCTGAGACCCACTTCAGTGAAGATGCCTTGCTCCAGAGTCATTCATCATTTTGTCTAGATCCATCCGTGGGAGTCTTGTTCAGGAATGACATCATGCCGTTTGTAACTCATCAGGTTGTTGTTGTTATGTGCCATCGAGTTGCCTGTGACTCATAGTGAACCTATGTACAACAGCCCTAAACCCTGCTCTATCCTGTGTCAATCTTATTGTCTCTGACACACCTACCCCCGTTAACCCACTTACTGAGTCAATCCATCTCACTAAAGGTCTTTCTCTATTCTGCTGTTCCGCCACCCTCCCAAGCATGACATCCCTCTCCAAGGACTGGTCAGGACAGTAAATAAATCAGAGTTTTTTATTTCTTTAAAATTTAAAATGTAACTGCAATGGAAGCATCAATAAGAGAGCTCATGTGTCTAATATTAGTCTTAATAACAAAACATGCCCAAGGAAGACTGAAGTATAAATGAGGACCTTGAATTTTGGAGTTGGTTAAGAGCATGGAATATACAATCAACTTCCGAAAGAACAAAGAAATCAGTCTGGAAGGAACAGCAACTAGGTGTCTTTAAAGGCAATGGTGGGGAAGCTTAGTCTCACATCCTTTAGACGTGTTTCCGGAAGGGATCAGCCTGGAAAAAAGTCATGATGTTGTAAAATGTAGAAACAAAAGGAAGACCCTCAGTGAGCTGAATTGGCACAAGGACAGGAGCAGCGGGCTTGAGCCTGGTGGGGTGCTGAGGACGGAGAGGAATAGGGTGAGGTTTGGATCTGGTGCTCACAGGGCGGCTGTGAGTCCCCTCTGTGACACCTCATAACAGCAACAACCACCACCCAGACCCTCATCTACTCTAAAGACATGACACCCCAGGTGGCGAGGACTGTAGGCCAAATGCTCGGGACCTTCCTCCCCTGGGACCTTTCGAACGATGCAGAGACAATGTCAACCTCCCACATGGACACTGTCCTTCCCATGCCAATGTCTTTCTCCAGGCAGGTTCCCCATGCACCCAGCTCCATCTGGTTCACTGAATCAGCCATCGGCTTCTGCCACATTGCTAAATCCTCCTCCAATTCTGACGCCATGCTCTTCTTCATGTGGTCCAGCTTCTCAAATCACTTGCTCAGCACACACATTGGTTGGTATGGAGAAAGGCTACAACCCTAATGCACACCTTTTCTGATTTTAAACCATACTGCATTCCCTTTTTCTGTCTGGACAACAGCTTCTTGGCCTAATTTTTCCCATATCAAGATGGTATACAAATAGTTAATTATCCTTGCAATTGTTTTCACCTATGCGTCTGTATGGACTAACCGTATCTATCATGCAAAGTATATGGAAACACAAACACTCTTTGCATGCAGAGGTGTTGCTTATAACACCAGGATGCACATTGAAACACTGATTGTTCTAAACAATATGAGGTGTGTTAGAAAAATTATTTGAGTAGATTAATAATACTATCAAGTTGTCCTACTGCCCAATACTGATGTATTCACATTGTCTAAGGTAATGATACAGATTTCAGGCAAACAGCCTCATGCACGTGGAGTGGCGTTAGAGAACATGAGGGTACCGGGAAGGCCACACAGCACAGAGATGGACTGCACCACGGCTCCTACTGAAAGCTCCATTCTTTACCTTTTCAAAATTATTTCCACTTCTTTAAAAGTTCTCCCACTGCTCTTTATGTTTATCCTCCATAAGTTTTCTTCCTGATCTGGACATACGGAACTCAGAAACTATGTATAATTCATAATTGTTTCCTTCATATCCTGATGTGATTCTTTTTCTGTACCTCATAGTGTCAATGACTAGGTGACAGCTTATTCCTGGCATAATTACTGACATTCCTCATGTCACATCAGGATGTTAGACAAAATGGCTCTTAATTTTTTTTAACAAAAAAAGGTCTTCACTTATTTATCATTTATTGAATTCTTAAAAGAACTTACTAATAATTTTTCATGGGCTAAAAATTCATGACTTAAACAATAAAAACTTGTCTCGTACAAGTGTTTGGTTGTATCTTTGCAGGGACATGTGGGGAAATCAGACGTTCATCACAGAGTTCATCCTCAGGGGGTTTCCCGTTGGCCCGAGGGTCCAGCTGCTCCTCTTTGCAGTCTTCTCCCTGTTCTACGCCTTCACTCTGCTGGGGAACGGGACCATCCTGGGGCTCATCTCCATGGACTCCAGACTTCACACCCCCATGTACTTCTTCCTCTCCCACCTGGCTGTTGTTGACGTGGCCTATGCCTGCAACACGGTGCCCCGGATGCTGGTCAACCTCCTGAGTCCCACCACGCCCATCTCCTTTGCTGGATGCGTCACACAGATGCTCCTCTTCCTGACTTTTGCGCACACGGAATGTCTTCTCCTCGTGGTGATGTCCTATGACCGCTATGTGGCCATCTGCCACCCCCTCCGGTACTCCGCCATCGTGAGCCGGAGTCTCTGCATCACCTTGACTGTGACTTCCTGGGCATGTGGCTCCCTCCTGGCCCTGGTCCATGTCGTTCTCCTCCTGAGACTGCCCTTCTGTGGACCCCATGAGATCAACCACTTCTTCTGTGAACTCCTCTCTGTCCTCAGGCTGGCCTGTGCAGACACTTGGCTCAACCTAGTGGTCATCTTAGCTGCTGCTCTGTTAGTCTTAGTGGGGCCCCTCTGTCTGGTTCTGGTCTCTTACACCCACATATTTTTTGCTGTACTGAGGATCCAGTCTGGGGAGGGGCGCAGAAAGGCCTTCTCCACCTGCTCCTCCCACCTCTGTGTGGTGGGGCTCTTCTTCGGCAGTGCCATGGTCACTTATATGGCCCCAAAATCCAGCCACCCTGAGGAGCAGCAGAAGGTCCTTTTCTTGTTCTACAGCCTTTTCAACCCAATGCTGAACCCCCTGATTTACAGCCTGAGGAATGCAGAGGTGAAGGGAGCTGTGAGGAGAGCTCTGTGCAAGCAGAACCATTCCTGAGGGGGTGACACCCTGTCTCCAGCTCAAGGCCACCAGAGTCTCAGTGCTGTCATTGTTTTTGGTTTTGTGGCTGAGTTGGAACTGACTCGTAGCTGACTCTCCAGAGGGTTTTCAGAGGCTGTAAATCGCCCTGGAGATTGTCCATCCTTCGGCCGCAGAGCATGCCTGTGGGTTGCAACAAGCTTCTTACTAGTTGGCCATCAGAGTCGGAGCTCCCTCTTTATGAGGACTGACTAAAGCAGAACTGGCTCTGCATTCTCTTCTTATCCGTGTCTTAACGACCCAAATTAAGCCCAGATGCCTCCTTTGCTTGGACAATTGTAGCTTTCTTGCATTCACTGACTTTCTATAATGAGAGGGTTAAACTGGGTGGCTCCTTGGAGGCAAGGATTCTGAGGCTCCGTTTAACATACTTTGGACATGTCATAAGGAGGGACCAGTCCTTGGAGAGGGACATCATGCTTGGGAGGGTGGAGGGACAGCGCAGGAGGGGAAGACCCTCTATGAGGTGGATTGATTCAGTGACTGGGATAATCGGGATGGGAGTATCAGAGACAGTACGCTTGGCACAGGATAGAGCAGGGTTTAGGGCTGTTGTACATAGGGTCGCTATGAGTCGCAAGCGACTTGACAGCACATAGCAACAACAACAACATGATTTTATCAAATATAATTATTCTCTAATTGAGTTGTATATCAATAAAATTAAAAGGTATTCTAATTCACATTTCTGGTTTCTGGAAGTTGAATACCTTCTCTCTACCTCCCTCACCCAGCCATGTAAACTCACTCACACAGCTATCCCGTGATTTAGGGAAAGAAAAAAAACCCTGCAAGCCAAGAGAGCAATCTTCAAAGCCAAGCCCCTTTCTGATCCCTCTCCTCGTGCTACCTCACTGCAGCCTCAGAACCGCCCTTGGAATCTGAAGACAGTCGAATTCTCATTTTACATTTGTGGCTTGCTGAAACATGAGGGGTAGAGGGTCTGTGCTGAGGTCTGCAGGAAATGAAATGGTCCAGGGTGGAACTAGGGCACTTTCGCTCCACCTTGTGGGCATAGCCCTTATAGCACATGTGTGAGTAAAAATCAGAGTCATAGGCTGACGCAAAGACTAAGTCTAAGGGATAAACATGACATTAGACAGAAGACTTGGAACTGTCAGAGATGCATGCTGGCTCCGAACTGGTGTGAGGACAAAACGGGCGAAAGAAAGCAAGGAAGGGATGCAATTCCATGGGTCCAGCCCCTGAGAGTCCGGTCCTCTAAAGAGGGAGAGAACTGTTTAAAAGAGATAGATGATTAGGTGGTCTTGTCATGACAGGAGTCCAGAACGAAGGCTGCACAGTGGAGTGGACTTGGGAAGAGGGATTGTATAACAACAAAAGAATTTTTCTTTTACTTTTCAAAGAGAAGAGCGAACTGGAGAAGGACATTATGCTCGGAAGGGTGGACGGACAGTGCAGGAGAGGGAGACTCCGGGTGAGATGGATTAATACAGTGACTGGTGCGATGAGGGTTAGTGTGTTGGAATTAGTGAGACTGACTCAAGACAGTGCAGTGTTCAGAGCTGCTGGGTCACTATGGGTTATAGGTTACCCAACGGCACATAACAACAACAACAATATATTCATTCAGATAGATACTCAAAGCTATTTAGCAAGTGTCAATAGGCAGCATCATGACAGATGGATAAAAGATTGACGTCATCAACCATTTCATATTGCTTGGCTCGACATTACCAATGGTAGCAGCAGCAAGAAGTAAAAACTCTTGATGCACTGGGGAGCTCTCCTCTCCAGGATCCCTCCAAAATGCAAAGAATGAAAACAGCAGTTTAAAGACTAAAATGCACCTGATCCAAATGATGGTATTGTCAATTGCGTCCTATTAACTAGAATGTTGGACAATGGATAAAGGCAGAAGAGGATTTGATGTCTTGGAATTGTGTTCTGCTGAGTGTTGACTCTCCCACCGACTGCCCACAGAATGAACAAAGCTGTCTTGGTTGAAACTGGAGTGCTCCCTAGAAGCCAGGAGGGTGAAATGTCATCTCACGTAATTTGGGCACAATTTCAGGGGGAACCAGTGATTGCAGAGACGTCATGCTGGGAGAGGTAACAGGTGAGCGAGAGAGGCAGGCCCTCCACACCATGGACTGACACAGCGGCCGATGGAAGAATGTCTGTGTTTTGTTGACCACACATTTGACTGTGTGGATCATAACAAATGATGCTAACGTTGAGAAGAAAGAGAATCCCAGAACACTATCTGTGCTCATGAGAAACTTACACAGAGATCATGAAGCAATTGTCCAAATAGAGCAAGGGAACACCGCGTGGTGTAAAGATCAGAAAAGGTGCATCTAGTTGGACCCTTGATCTCCACCAGTCCAATCTGGATGCTGAGCAAATACTTCAAGAAATTGGAATATACGAAGAAGAATGTGGTATCACGATTTGAGGAAGGCTCAACAGCGTATGCTTTTAAGACAACGCAACCATGCTTGCTGAAAGTGAAGATTATTTGAAACATTTGCTGCAGAAGATCAAAGGCTAAAACATTTAATACAGATTATAACTCAACATCAAGAAAGTGAAAATCCTCACCACTGGGCAAATAAACAACATCAAGATAGGCGGAGAAAAGAGTGAAGCTCTCAATTATTTCATTTTACTTGTATCCACAACCAGCATCTGTGGTAACAGCAATCAACAAATCAAACGATATGCTGAATAGGGAAAATCTCCTGCCAAAGATCTCTCCAGAGTGCTTAAGAGCAATGATGTCACTTTAAAGACTAAAGTGCCCCGATCCAGGCCAGGGTGTATTAAATTCCTTACTGCACCTGAAAGTTGAACAGTGAATAAGGACAACAGAAGAACAGACACCTCTGAGTTGTGGGTTGCTGAAGAATGCTGAAGGTGCCACCAACTGCCAAACGTGCAGACCAGCCTGTCTTGGAGGAAGTACACGCAGAATGCTCCTTAGAGACAAGGATGGTGAAACCTTGCTCACATACTTCGGACATGTTGTCAGGAGGCGCCAGTCTTTGGGGAGAGAAAAATCCACATAATTCTGGGAAAGGGTGAGAGGAAGAAATGACAACCTTCAACAAGATGAACTGACACAGCAACAGCACATCAGAAATCACAGATGGCGCAGGACTGCCTTGGGTAGAGATCTGTTGTCAGTAGGGTCACGTTGAGTCGCAGTCACCTTGAAAGCAACTAACAACAACACATCAGTCATTAAGTGTTGACGAGGTACATGAAGCCATCCTCCCTGGGGAGCTTCACTGCTAACCGCAAAGAGACACATCTCCATGAGTTTGAATCCACCAGCTTCTCTGAGGGAGAAAGATCGTCAAGCTCCCTGGGTGACTGAAAACACACAGAAGGGGCAGCAATGTGTCGTCTCCAACTCAACGGCTGTGAGGGAGTGAGTGAGTGAGTGAGTGAGGGCAATAAATATACAAATGATCAGCCTAAACAGTCCAAAAGCGTGCCTGTGCGTAAAAGCTATAACCGTGTACAATTAACAAACATTTGATAATGTTAGCCATCTTATTGTCCATCAGACATTCTTGTTTCTTTATTTACTCAGTTCTTGCAAAAGTTTCTAAAGGGGAAAATATTGACAACAAGTGACGTCTCATCAACCGCTGATCATGCATGAGTAGTGTTAGTGCTTGGTGAGGACGTGCCGGCAGGGCCAGGAGAAAGCTGGACCTTCTCCTCCTGCCGGACCTTCTCCTCCTGCTGGACCTTCTCCTCCTGCATGTTACTTAGAGCCTTGGAAACCCCGTGCGGGTCCGCTTGAAGCAGTTCTCACTCCACAGCGTGACTCAGATCAGGGAGAATACAGAAAAAGAAGGCAACGTCTACTGATTTCTATGATCTAAAAAGGAGATCAGGAATGGACCTTTCAAAAGAAGGTGCCGTTTGTAGTTCCAATGACAATGGTCTTCCAGGCGGGGATGTGCCAGCAGAGTGGCTAAGGACTGACCCTCCTATGTCTTACGAGAGGGTGGAGACAGTGGGTGCCGGGAACTCCTGCGTGTGGCAGGATGGGCTCCTTGGGTGGAAGCCAGCTCCCGTGGGTTCTAATCGCTGGCACAGGACTTCACTTTCCTCTTTGCTGGGTAGTGCTGGCAGGTGCCAACAAATGTCTAAACCGACTGTGAATTAGCAGGTCTGGATGGATGGTCCTAGAGCTTAATGTTTCTAACAGGAGCACAGACCTTACCAACGCTACTCATCTATTAGCTACTTACAACATTGAGAGTATGGAGAAACACTGTCAAATTATGAATACCAAAGATGAAAGGAGGCTTAGAATTCCGCCTTTCAACATCACAGCTTGATATTTTACTTTAGCAGCCTTCACAGAAAGGACCCTAACATGCAGCGTCATAGGTGTCCTGAGTCCCAGAGTGACCAGTCTTCAAGCTGTGGTGGTTCGCGGTATCCCTAAGAGGCAACCCCTTGGACCAGGAGCACGCTCCTCCCTCTCCAGGGAATGACCAGTGCGCTAGAAGTGCTGTGCAGATGGAGAGAAAGCAAGTTATAGCCTGGGACTCCCAAATGAGCTGATTCCAGAATGACTCAGGGGCCTGGAGCTGCTCATTGGAGTGTCAGTGAGCATGGAGTGGGGCTCAGGTCCAGGGACGGCTGAGGGAACCTCGGGGACACGATGGGACTTACTTGGGAGCAGGGACTCCCAGACATTAAATGCCAATAGAAGTCTAGATGGAAGCGTTTGCTATTCTCTACGTCACTGGGTGGTGCTGGATGTTAGGGAGAGGACAAGGTCGCTGTGCTGGGCAGCTGCCCGTAGAAAGTTCCTGCATCTTCCAGGAGAGGGAGACGTTTGCTCTAATACTTGTTTGCATTTTTCTTTTCCCTGCACACAGAAGAGTCAGGAGCCTTCTACCAAACAACTGTGGAAGTAACAAACCAATGCGTTTTCTAGAGTGAGATCCCTAGGCTGCTGGCCAGGA